TGTATGAATGGAAGAGCAAGAAACTTGATACACAGTCTGAGAGTTGTGCTCGAGCACCAGTTCCCATCATCAAATCTGATTCAGAACGTTTGCAGCAAACAAAAATGCCTGTAGCGCACAGGTTCATTAAAAAAATGACAAGGAAAACACCAACCCATAACGATGTGCAATTTGGAATCGGACTGAAATGCATAGACCATTTTAACCAGAAAAGGCAATCCTTTGAGGCGCTCGAGTACATGCCGCTCCGACAAAGTATGTTCCAGAGTTTTTGCTTTTGTTATTACACGGCTTTTACGCAAAACTTTTATCGCATAAAGGGTCCCATGATCGCGTCCGCCAACCTTTCGGGCCAGGAACACCTTTCCATATGCTGCAAAAAAAAAAGACTGCACTTAAACATCACTGTCTCTAAATGCTGTCAAATTTGTCCTTGGTTCTAAAGATTCCTTTTTTCTAAGACTAAGAGAAGCGCAGTTTTTCATGACGAACACAGAACAAATGTAAAAAAAAAAAGAAAAAACTGGTCGAAGGTTCCCGTAAACGTCTGGTAATGTCACAGCGATCAAAGCAAATTTAAGAGCGTCAGCCGTGTGTATGAATAAATAATTGTATTTTCCACGGCACATAAGTACTTACGAGTAGCCCTACAATGAATATTTTGGTAAAGGAATTCCGGAACGCACGCCATGGTATTTTTGCCATTAGTGAGGTCGAACGCGAAGCAGGTCTGGTTGCAAAATTGAGCGAAAGCGAACAAGTTATGACAGACGAGACCGAAAAAGAGGCTGGAGAAACTGGTCTCACCGTGAAGTTGCACACGATCAGCAAAACTATTTTTGTAGTTGATCAGCAGACAGTCCTTAGCAAAGCTCATGGCAGTTCATCAGTCCAATTCAGCGACAGGGAATGAAAAGAATAAGGAGTTTTGTGAAGAAATCGAAAAAGAAGATATCAAACATTGCTGAGAGGAAATTAGCACAATGTTACAACAAAAGACACATACATACGCATACACACTATACATACA